TTTATAAAAAAAAAAGACATACTTTTTTTGTATTTAATTAGAGGATTCGAGCTTGAATCGTTGTGATAAAGTTCCTTAGTGAGAGCTAAAACATCCCAAGCAAACTCAGATTAGGTGAAATTTTTTTTGTATTTGTTATTTACGATAAACCAATAAATACATGTCATATGTTCGGAAAAAGATTTTTCGAATTGGGAGGATTGCCTCAAGCTTTAATTTATTGGATAGGTTGGAATAAATGGATGGTTTCAAATTGGGAGGCTTGACTTTTTGGTATAGTGGCAATAACGTGGAGTTATGGTGTAGAATTAAATAATTACTCTAAGCTTATAATACGTTCTAACGTGTACTAAGAATTGTTTATATATTATTCCTATTTTAAAAAGGGGAAAAACAGTTGACCTATAGTTTAGTGGGGACCACATACCACCAAATTCACATATTTATATTGGAAATAGAACTTTCACCATCTAAGCAAAGAACCTATCTTTACCAAAATCCGATCAAGAGAAAATAACAATTAAAACTCGCTAATAGTTGAGGCCAGGTAGATCATTGTTTGGATGATTTTAGATGTTAAATTATCTAGAAATGACCTCTTGTATTTTTCTTTTCTACTATACAGAAATGTGAAGACAAAGAAAGACCAAGGGTAAAGAAGTAAATTTACACTAATAAATACATTTTCTTCATATATCTAGAACCATACATTACATTCCGCCAAGGATAAAAAGGTAAATTTGTGACTAGATCTATGAATTGGGAGTGGAATTGACTAGAATTGCATCAATATGATAATTATTATAGTGGTTGTTTGAATCTCAAGTTCCATTGTGTTGCATTAAAATTGTAACGTTATCCATCAATGGAATGAAACTTCAAATCCTATGAAATTTGAATAATATGTCATTTAACTTGGTCTCATTTCACATTGATATATATCCTCCAACTTTGGATATGCACAAGTAGGCACTTTAACTTGTATAAAATTGAACAAATAGATACATGAGTCTTATGTGACATAATACACACAAGACACCACGTAGGATGAAAATTCAGCCAATTTTCTTTGCACATGAAAGCCACCGGATTGACAGTGGTTAAGGGAGACGTATTTGAAGGATCAAATTGAATCGATAATTTTGGAAGATTGAAGGTTGATGAAAATCTTAGAATCAAGGGTCATAGAAACGTAAGGATTTGTTGTTGTTGTTGCAAGAGAAACTACAGTTAAAGAATATATATGTCGATTTTAGAAGACATCTTGATAATATAGCAGTAGCCAGAGGACCTGAAGCAGCTATCTATTACATGAATTTTGATTCTATTATTCAATTGAGTTCTTACTTGACAAGGTAGAGATAAAGTCTGCGTAAACACTCCACTTGTGGGACTATACTGTGTATGTTGTTATTATTAGTCAATTGAATTCTAATGCTTCTTCGCTATCAGGAACTTAAACAAGGATATTTGGCTCAAAAACATGCTCTAATAATGGCTGCGAAGAACTTGAAACTTTTGATGAGCAGAGGAAAAGAAAGCAAACTTCCAATATATGAGCCTAGAAGTAGTGGCTCAATTTTCGTTCACGACGATCATTGGATTAGTCTCCGAGATGACCAAGTCTAAGGATTTATACGTTGGGAAAACGACGAAGAAAATGGGGCTTCAAGCTAAGTAATATATATTGTTTCATTCATGAAATTTAACATCCTTTTGAGTGTGAGAAAATGGTGCCATTTCATTGCCAAAAATTGAGTTCTTCTACTTATTTTTTGCTGTAGAATGTGCATAGGAGTTGCACTGCTAAGAATATTTACAATAGATCCTAAAAAGTTTCTCTTGATCTCGCAACTGTGTGAAGTAATGTTGCTTTCATTTTTTTCAAACAGTTCAACCTTCCAGAAACCGTTAATATCTGGTTGTGAATCCATGTAATCATACGATCGACGTTCATCCTGAATCAGCCAAATTATAAAAAAAATAGGGAAAATGCATAAGTACCCCCAACCTATACCAGAAATCCCAAAGACACGTCTAACCTTTACTAAGGTCCTATTACCCCCC